GTGAATTTATTACCTATGTCGAACACTCATTTGAATGTGGACTCTCGGTACATAGCGCTCGGTTCTGCATTTCGGCTGACATAAAATATATGTGATGTGCACGACTCTTTGATATTTTCGACATAAATAAAATAAAATTAGACTAATCCTCGGACTGTTAGGTACTTTTTCGTTTTAAGTACTGATGATATGAATACTTTTTTTAACCGATAAGTCAATTGCTTTAGGCTCTAATTTTTATAGACAAAAACAGTGTTGTAAAATTGAATTAATTTTTGAAGTTTTAAATCTTGAAAACCGACATTTTTCTACGGTTTTGAGATTTGAGATTCGGTTTTGACACATCACAACTAAGTAAAACATGAAATTCTGAGCCTTCAATGCAAACAGAAAAAACTAAAATTTCGGTTGTATGAAAAGACAGCATGCAGAAAGTGAAAACATGAAAAAGCTGTAGGTAATGTAATGACATTGCCATAAACATGAGGTTTGAATGTACACTTTCATTAAGCTAATAACACCCAGGATTTAAGCTCTTTTGATAACTTCTGTGTGGTATAGCTTTTTTATTTTTATCCAAGATGTAATCTCAACAAGGGGACCCCTGCACAAGGCAGTTTAAAATGGGACCCAACAATGTTTCCGAGGCAAAATGAAATTGTGGTTTCCCATACCAAATTGGACAAGTAGGCCTAAGACTTAAATTGTATGGAAATAATAAAGTTTCTACTACTGCGTGGAAATGATCACATTAATACTTAAATACTTTTTGATGAAATGGCGACCATACAAAGTAGGTATTTTAAGCCAAGTATGAATGGAGATGAGTGTAGGATGAGTGGCGCGATCTTGTAGTCTTGTTAGTGACTAAGGCCGACATATTCATATTGCCACACCTGTGAACAGTACCCTACGCAAAATACCGTAGCTCATTTCAATTTGATTTATTCTCGCTCGCTAAATCAACTGATTTAACTATTGGTGTAAAACACTAACATCCGGTTACCAAATACCATAACATAAGGAAGCAAACATCACCTAAATGACATTTTGTAAACAGACTATCATAATCATAAACTTTTTAATCTGTGTGTTATAATAGGTTAATTTTGGTGGTAGGAAATATCAGGTGTAGTACGAGCACAAACAGTCATTGCTACTTTCAAAATGTTAGGCCGCACTCAGCTAAAGCTTTGTGCGACTATCTACAGTTCTTGAGGGGCAATGGTGTACTTTAAGCTGTCAAATAAACAAACAGCTACAGTATTTCCTAATAAAAGCACACAGCAAAGACATAAAATGCTACCTACCTAAATAGAATAATGATACATAATTAAAACTTCTAAGCGAAATGCTGGAAGAACGAATTACATTTTCTTACCGCGAAGTACTCTGTAACCTTTCCCGGGAAGCAGCGCAGGTGTTCAAATAGTTTCAACCCCCGGCATTCCGAAACGGACCTGATAGCATATTTCTCGTTCTTTGTAGGATTGTTGTTGATGGGTTTATGAAAGTATTCTAATTTTCTTAAGGGTTTGTCTGTCTACCTGATTGACACAACATGTTCTTCGTACAAGTACCCTTACTAAGATTTTTTTCTCAGAAGTTTCAATAAAACTTTTGTTTAACCCTTTTCTGCGACAAAATACTTGTAACTGTTTGCAATATTTTAAAACAATTACAATTTAGATAGCATATTAGTCAAAATAAATTAGATTTTTACATCTAGGCTAATTTTAATGTGCGCCTAAAATAAATGTAGGACGTGATTTAAATTTTATACCATGATAAGGAATGTAATAAATTACAAACCTTTGCGCATTGCATGGAAAACTTAACATTGTACAACAAGCTATTTCAATCAACAATGATATATAAACAAAATCATAAACATTTACCCATGCTAGGTGCAACTTTGTCAACTAGGATTGCTTTCATGGCAGTGAAAGCCAGTTGAGTGGAGCGATCACGTTTCATGGTTTTTAATAAAGCAATAAATAAACATTTTTTTATAGATATAATACAAAATACAACTATTTCATCAATTTAACTTATCAGTTTCGCTCACAACTATCAACATCTATAACAAGTTTCATAAGTACCACGGGGGTGGATTTCCGGGGGTAGATGTCCGGGGGTAGATTTCTGGGGGTAGATTTCTGGGGGTAGATTTCTGGGGGTAGATCTCCGGGGGTAGATGTCTGGGGGTAGATGTCCGGGGGTAGATTTGCAGTCGCGGGCTGTTTCTCGACAGTGTATAGGCCCCACCCCTCGTGACGTCAAAATGACATAGGCGTTTTTTCATGGGGGTAAATATCCGGGGGTAGAAATCCGCTAACCCAAAACTTTGACTATTAATACCACCACTATTAATTGGCCTACTTTGTTAAATTCGTCGCCAGTTTTGATACAAAATAGTCGTAGTTGATGTGAGTCACTATCAGATCGAAATTTTACATTACGGTACTAAATTTAGGTAATGTCAAATACACAAACGTTTTACTAAAACAAAGTAGGCTAAGTTAATGGAATGACTTTAACAAATATGTCAGAAACAATAAAAAGGGTAGAAAATGGAATTTTTTATTTTGGACGCTAGGCCTAGCACATTCTGTGACTGGCTCACACAAATGTTCTTAAAAAAAAATTGGCAACAGCTGGCCCACATAGCCTCAGAGATGGGAATTCTACTTCAGAATTCAATAATTAAACGCTCCGAGGTTTAAATGGGTGGGAGGAGCCAAGCCGATCATTAACGTCTATTTGAAGAAACGTTTTAAAAAGCTGTTAAGATTTAGTAAAGCAATATCAACCGGTATTTTCATGTAGCCTACCTACCGTAGACGTTTAGTTACTGTGGTCGAACTAAGTAAAATTGTAGACCTAATGATCTTTTAGCTTAGGCCTACTATTGGGATAGGTCTACATTGGGAAAAAATAACATCTAAGTTATAAGTTACCGGTACTTTAGAAGTGAAATATCCAACCGAATCAAAATTGATACCTACCTAATATAATTCATACGGTACCAGGTTCTCTGCAGAGCTGCAACTTATCCTTGGAACCACCTAACTTATTACAAAATGAAATTCTCCAAAGCTAGCCTAAGCTAATCATAAGTCTGTGACGCCAAGGGCTGTTCAATTTTTTTAAAACTGGAATTCTACATTGTAGCCTAAGTTTTTTTTTTAGGTTTTAAGTTGATGGAGGTGAAAAGTTAGGGTCCTGGACTGTCATCAGCATTTTCTGATTACTGCCACTTTGTTATTGGTTTAAACCACATAGGCTAATAAATAACTTAAGTTAGGTAATGAATTTGAAAGGGGTTTAAGTTAAGAGATTTGTTTCTTAATTCATAGGCCTTATAAACTTACTAACACATAGTTTACATCTTTCATAATTGAGGATACAGAAAATAAGCTTTACTTAATTTGCAAGATTGTAAGTAAATATTTTCTTACCGTAGGTACCTAAAATATACATATACCTAGGCATACTCGTGTTACAGGCCTATCATTGAGTTTCCAGGAATAGACTCAAAAAGTCAGAACACAAGTTTCAACCTTTAATTCAAGAATGCAGAGTTATGGTTGGACTTACGGTATAAAAGCTACCGGTAGGCCTACCTAAAAACGGGTTGTGGAACATGTTCTATAGTCCTCACCACCCTAACTTGAGGCATCCCAAGGCCGCACGCCATATATCTAATGCAGGCTTGGGCTGCCTCAAGTTAGGGTGGCGAGGACTATAACTTAGTATAGACCAGGCCTTTCGCTAATTTTAATTTAGGCTAATAAAGTAATCGGGGCATATATAAAGCGCAGGCATAAGTTCAAGTTGGGGCCTAACAGTACGTCCAGAGTGCACACCGATTCAGAAATTTTATGGTGACCACAGTGCAACCAGGAAATACGCCCCCAGTAAACTTACTCACTCGGTCAGCAAAGAAACAAGTCACTTGTCGCTATGGTATTGTCAGATGAGGAATTACATGTAAAATTATAGCGCCTGAAACTGTTATGAAGTTACAGCCGCCAGTGAAAAATTATGTTCATGGATATTAAGATGTACCCATATGGACCTCTGATACCATAGCTAACTTAGAAATGAAGGAGAGCTTCTTTATATATTGTGTTGAATGGATCCTGAAACCACCGCAACTTATTATTTAAAATGGACATCGTATTGTAAAAAACTGCTGTACCAGATAACCTAAAAAAAAAAATTTCGGAAGAGCGTTTAGTGGTACGGTAAGTAACCCTAAATAGAGAAGAAATTAGGCCTAAATATTTTAGGCTAACTTACTATAAAAACAAAACTTATTTGACCAACTTACTTAGTGTTAGTACGAGCAAAATCTGAATGGGAATCTGAAACGAGAATGAAAAATTCATTCTGGTAAGCAGGTGCTTGCGCACGGGCTCAGCAACCAGCAGCCACTTCCATTTGAATGCAAGTAACTTGCCATTCATGCCGCCGATAATCTGAATCGGCGTGCACTTTGGACGTAGGCCTACCATACCATAAATTGTGTCCAAGCTATAAGTTACCAGGTACAAGTAACATAATAAGGAAAGTCACCAACTAAGTTAAATGATTGAGTGTTCTCAGGAAGTAATAAGTTATTGAGGAGGTATTGAGTTAATAATAACTTATTAGATGTTAGATCTAAATTGGATTTTGATGATTCTAAATATCGTGTCCAGTAATACTGTACCTATAAGTAAATCATCCATAGCTATGGCATTGGCTAGGCTTAGGTAAAAATTGAAAGGGTAGGCCTAACTTAAATGGTTTCATGCAAACATAAGGCAATATGAGTCTAATGCTCTCCTGAAACTTGTTGCATCGAAGCTATTCGTTTAGGGTTGCGATTTTAATTGAAAGTATAAGAGATAAAGAGCATATAATTTCATAAACCATTCATAAATAAACCCTACCCTCTTATAATAATGCACTTAGGCTATGTAAACCTATCCCGAATCATCAACATAACTTACCTCATTTTGGATGCACTTAAGTGTCTCCGAAGGTTATAATCCAATGAAAACACATCCGTATAGTATCCTGATCATTTACACTACACACAAAACACACACTTCTTTTATAATAACAGCATAATGCAGCGACAAACATAAACCAATCCACCCGAACACTTTACAACGCCATTTTACCAAGACGTCGATTCTGGAATCAGTGCTGATAACCTAAACCTTCTGTCAAATATTTCATTTTTATAACGAGTTTGCTGGTAAGACTGGTTAGAGTACAGGCCACGGACGAAATTAGTGTTCAGATGGAATTGACATCGACACTACCGTAGATTAAATTTACCCACTGATAATATATTTTTATTGTGGATTAAGACGTCTCCATTGATCTGCTATAAACCTTTGTATACTTCGATTACAAAATTGTTGCAGTAGAACAATTAATATTTTTGTAAATACTGTCTTAAATAAAACATACTGTTGGTTAGTCAATGATATTATGTATCAGTACGCCTTCAATCGGCGTTGACCAATACCCCACTACCCTATTATACGTATTTACGACGCAAAAACATGGTTTTTACTTAAAGGCAAGTACGATTGTTAAATTAGTAATATGACAGCTTCGTTTTAGAATGTAACTTGAACTGGATCTAGGACCATCAAAAGTCAAATGACCAAAGGGCAACTGGGTCCTGTTTCAAACTAACCATATGAAGTATTTCCCCTTAGGATAGGATCACACAGCACCTTCTGATTGCCAGGAAAGCACTGTATTCACTCAGCAACCCATACACGAAAGATACTAATGCCCCTGCTCTAAGACACAAACATCTTATGTATCCGATATCTTACTTATAGGACGTACCTATCGGTTGCAGGGGCAGCTCCAGAAGGCAGACCATAGAGGTAGGCCCAGGCCTACCCAAAATTTTAGTAGATATTTAAAAATTATGAATAAATAAAGTAATTGAATTATCTATAAGTATAAAAGAGGATGTTTGTATATATATATATTTGTTTGTTTGGCAGTGATAAACTCAGACACCGCTGAACCGATTGCCACGAAACTTGGTACATAGCCTACGTGTAGAATTTCATGGAATAGGTTTATACACCATCAATTTCGTGATCCGTCCAATCGGCTCCGCCCCAGTGGCTCTGGAGTTTCCCATGTTAACCTGAGAAATGGAATTAATGAATCTTAACAGCTGTTTCAATTAAACAAGTTGGTTCTGTTCTATGATGTTCAATAGCATTAAAGTTACAAGGATTACCAACAGGGTGCAGCACTATTATTTCTTTTACATTTATGACAACAGCTAATTTGCAACCAAAAGGCGAGTGAGCGTAGTGAACGAGCTAACCTGAAGGCAAGTGAGCGTAGCGAACGAGCTAACCTGAAGGCAAGTGAGTCAGCGAACGAGCTCCAACCTAAAGGTGAGTGAGCGTAGCGAACGAACTTCAACCAGGACGTGATTGAGCCATGCGAACGAGATCATCTTGAAAATTAAGAAGTTAAACGGGGCAAAGCCCGCGGGTTACAGCTAGTATGTAAATAAATTGAAAGCATTCAAACTCAGTTTGCATTTAAATTGTAAAATTCCTCCTTTTTGTGGAAAAGCCCCTCAAACCTCTCGTTCCCCTATCAAACTCCTTCTTTTTTTTTGCTCGTATCTACTCTACGCCAGTGGCATTTTTGTAATCAAGTCAAACACTTTTAATGGAAAGCTGCCAAAACCCATTAGAGCTTTGTGGATGTGCCGGGGATTGAACCCGTCCCTCCCGCACCGAAGTCCGAGACGCTAACCACTAGGCTAGCAACACAACCTAGCTTCTTGATCCTTATTAGGCCTACCCAAAAAATTATTCCTGGAGCCACGTACCCCTGCAATGATGCAAAAATTTTAGTTTCATGTCAATTTGTGCTTTGGGTGAATACAAAGCTTCTGTTGTTACCAGGCTAGGCCTACCATAACCACTATTCTTTCTTTCCAGCCAATGAGCCAACGGTGCTATTGCCATAGGTAGAGTTGATTAAAAAAAAATTTGCCAAAACATAGTTCACTTCACTCCCCTTGTATTTTAAACCCTTAATTATTGATATCCGTGGCACATGTACAATATGTACATAATTTGTGATATGGAACAAACAGGAACCAGGTGCAGATGAAATGCAAATAAAAAAGTGAGTAAGGAAGCCGATGTACATCTCACGTGGGAGTTAGCTATATTACACAATTCAACAAATCTTGTTGACTTGTTATACACCTTTAGAGTCCATTACAAATATGCTCCATTTCCTTATCTACTGTCCTTGCTATGAGGGAAAATAGTGGTTTGTTGCAGTTGTAAAATTTTCCAATGCAGGAAAACCCATGTACATTCACCATTGCCACGGAAAAATATGTCTCATGGCTCGCATCCAATGTTAGTTCTATGGAAAAAACAGAGTGATGGGTATGCCCCAATGCATTCCTGCCGTACTACACCACTGGGTTTGTTGGTACAGAAACGCAGAAAAACTTTTGTTCACTCTATGCTTAAGTAAAACTCCAAAATCCCTCTATAGAACCTTTTTATTCACACAATGAGAGCTTGGCCGTATGTATGGTATGTACATGCACAAATTATCTCTTGATAACTTCATTCCTTTTATTACGGTAGTGTTTAACATTCAAGAATCCATGTTGAAAGAAATCTTGAGCTACTGTCTCAAGGGTAAGAAAAAGTTTGCATCCAATAATTTTGATGAAGGAGCAAACAAGTTAAATTTGATCTGAAAAACACTTTTTAGACAATGTGTAGGCATATTAAATTTAAATTGCACATGATTACAATTTGCTTTCTGTTTAGAAGTTGTAGTTGAACTAAAACTTGTAGTTGCGAGTTGAGATGACATCAGATTACCTAACATAGTCTAGCATGGAGCTGGTTTTATCTTAATAAAGAATAATGTTTCTACAGTTTTACCATATAATATCAATGTAGGTAGTTACACAAAGAAGATAATATACAATTAAACATTTAAAAATGTATTTAAACTGAATCACTATCAAGGGTGCCAATCAAAACAATGTTTTATATTCAAACTTCATATTTAGGGCCCTATTACACTTGGTCACCAGGCAACGTCACCGGTGGCGTCGCCGGTTACTGTACGGGCACTTGGGCAGCCAGCTTCAACACCAGAAGTCACCAGGAGGTGCGCTCAACGAATCTAGTCACTAACAAGACTACAAGATCGCTCCACTCATATTTGGGTTAAAATATGCACATTGTGGCGTCCCCATCTTAAATAATTGATAATTGAATTGATACTTGGCTTAAAATACCTACTTTGTATGGTCGCCATTTAATAAGAAAGTTTAAACAGTTTTAAAGTTTATCGGGAAGTGCATAACACATTCCACGTATCATTAAAAAAATTAAAAAAAGTGAGACCAACCCTCAAAGTTCTTCCACTCTAGTGTCTACATACATTCAGCGCTGTCAACTCGTTGAAGGACAAAGGGCTCTGTTATCCGCATCTTACCTCTTCAGTTTAAAAAATGTCCAGTGAACAAATATTAGTGAATAAACGGGAAAGAGAAGCAGGGAAAGGAAAATGGGAAGACAACTCAGTCAAAGGAAGCTAGTCTACTATAAAATGTAGTGGTGAAAAAGATACCAAGAAAGAGAAAAACCAAGTCTCCCCCTTTTCCTCATCAAAAGAGCAAGAAGTAGTATTTCTTTATATTTTTCCGACATTACGTCCACTCACTACACTGACATTAAACAATCTGAACTTGCAGAGCACAAAAATACAGTGGTGACGTAGCCGCAGTGACTGTGTGTAATATGTGCCATTTGATTCAAAGCCCAGCGACAAATCTTGGTCACTAGTGGTTACTCGTCTGGTCACCGGTCAGTCACCAAAGGCTGGTGACGCAACCAGTGACCCTAGTGTAATATTTGCAATTACCGTAAGAACCAGTGCCCACCAACATGTCAGGACCGGTGACGCCACCGGTGACGTCGCCTGGTAATAGAGCCCTTAGCCTTTGTATTTGACAAAACCGGGGGTTTTGGAAAGCCTACCTAGATAATGATCAGAAAGTAAGTAGTAACACATTCAAACATGTGATACTACTTAATCCTATGTGGGATTAATTTAGTTTTTTTTGGCTATACATCTTAAAACTGATTTTTATTGTAGGCTATACATTTATATTTTGTAAACATTGTCTTATTTTCTACAAAATAAAAGATATTTAGATTTTTAGTTATTTTAATTTTGATGCAAAAGACGAGTATTTAGTCTCAACTTGAAACTACCAATGCCTTCTCAAATTCAGGGTAAAACAAAAGCAACTCTTATCAGTGTTCAAATAACGATATGTCTTATTTGAAATTACCCCAAAACTAAAGGCATACAAAATTAACATAACAAAGCATGTTACACAGAAACTTTATAATTGTTCAACACATCAATTAATGGCACAATATAAATTTATGCATAAAGATAAATTACTAATAACGTTAAAATAAATCTATAAATCACACATTCACATTAAAATTTGGAATACATTCTTCAAGACTAAAAATAAATTCCGAGTATTTAATAAACAATTCATAATCAGAAATTTATTTAAAACTAAGATTGATTGAACATAATTTTAATCTTTGGTATGATCACATAATTAAAAACCTTTAAATTATTTACTGTTAACATTATATTTTTTTGACACAATCATACAAAAATATTGTACGACATTGTTTTAAATCACAGAAATATATTTTAGACATTACTTACAGACAAAAGTCTTCTCGTAAATTTATCCTAGACACAAAATATTATCAGCTTATTAAAAGGTCAAACATTTGGGGTGGAGTTCCCGACAAGGAAAACTCAGATAATATAATTTTTTTATTTATTTACTTAAGGGTAATAAATCAGTAAATCACTATGTGAGGTAGGGTTAAAGGGAAGCTATTTTGGATCCTACTTGTTTGAAAAAATGTAGGCGGTTTGAGGGGAAGGGATTCCACCCCCTTTATCTCACCTAACTTTGAAACAGTTTGTGAATGGTCTAAAATAACTAAACCATGGGTAAAAAAATGAAAAACATGAACTCACTAGAAAAGCCCATTACAAAACTGTAACTAAAACTACAAGATCAGCAAATCATCAATAGTTAACATTATTT